GCTGTCCTGTTCCAGCACTTACTCTTTCTGAGTAACTAGTCCAGCAGTATAATTTTATCTCTGAACCCCAAAGCTAAATTTGAGGAAAAGATTCACTTACTTTTCTATTAATTCCAATGTAAGTAGACCTGAAAATAAGAGAGTGGGACTCTCTTTTTATGAATGTGATTATCACGATAGGTAGAAATTTCTTTAGAAGTACTTACATCTAAAAGTTAGCTCAGTCTCCACAGAGACTGTAGTAGAAATTCACACTTATAAAGCAGATGGAGTTCATTGTATCTCAGTATTACTCCTTTTTCTTATCCAAATTGGAATAATCTGTACTTTTTGGACATATTAGTATTTTTCATTATATTTACAAGTTGTCTTTTTCCAAAAAAATCCTAACAGACCAATTACTTGGATTCTCTTCCTTGTCCACAATGTCACATTTTCTCATAACTAGGAAAAGAAGTGTTTTGAGTTATCTGCAAACATGAATTCTAGCACCTTTGTCATTGTTTTCTTCGAAATTTTAATAAGATTGTCTACTTTACAGGAAGGTTTGTTTAACCTCTTTTAATATAAATATTCCATGATGTATTTTATCTCAAGAAATGTTACTTACTATCCTCCAGTCTACCAGGACATTGAAAGACTCTTAAATGACATTTCTTTTTTGAGCAACTTTATCCCAATTCTTTCTCAAGAGAAGAGACTACAAAAGACTTTCCACAGATAATTTGAGGGCATCAAATGCCATTTTACACAAGAAGTCTGTAAGCCCATCAAGCCATGAGATAATTGGTGCTTAAGAAGCACCTATGTCCTTGTGAAACACATGTTAGTGTCATGCATCTAAGAAACACTGTGCATCTTTTACGGCTGCATCTCTTATTCACTCAGTGGCTTCTTTGCAGTGGCACTGCTGAGCTGTTTGCCACCTGTGCCAAGAAAGACATCAGGGTGTGGCACACGCTGTCCAACAGGGAGCTGCTGCGGATCACTGTACCCAACATGACCTGCCATGGCATCGATTTCATGAGAGACGGCAAGAGCATCATTTCTGGTAATGTCCACACGCCAAGATTCGGCTTTGGGCTGTGTCTGTGGCTTTGGTTCTTGTCATTCTCGTTCTACATTAGTCGCTGTATCTGGATAACCTGGAACAGCCCACTGTCCACCCCCTCCTTGCTCCTAGTCTAGGCTCTCTTTGGAGCTCTCTTCCAGCTGGAAGACTTTCTGAGCTGGGAAGAACCAAATAGCAACTTCTTTTCTCCCAAATTGCTGCATATAGCCCGTAGCATTCTCTCTAGCAGGGAAATTTAGTAATTCAATTACAAAATGGATTTGAGACTTTAGTGAGTACAGGGCACTTATGTTAGAACCTGTTTTGTTGTCCAAGAGATAAAAACCTCACAAACGAAGTTGTGCCTCAAAGGGAATTTATTTTATTATTTTTAGTTTTTTAAAGATTTTATTTTTTTTTCCTTTTGCTCCCCAAAGCCCCCCAGTACACAGTTGTATATTCTTCGTTGTGGGTCCTTCTAGTTGTGGCATGTGGGATGCTGCCTCAGCGTGGTTTAGATGAGCAGTGCCATGTCCGCGCCCAGGATTCGAACCAACGAAACACTGGGCCGCCTGCAGCGGAGCACGCGAACTTAACCACTCGGCCACGGGGCCAGCCCCCGGGAATTTATTTTTAACTCGATTTTTTTTATTGAGTTTATGATAGTTTACAATCTTGTAAAATTTCAGTTGTACTTTATTGTTTGTCAGTCATGTTGTAGGTGCACCCCTTCACCCTTTGTGCCGACCCCCCACCCCACCTTTCCTCTGGTAGCCACTAATCTGTTCTCTTTGTCCACATGTTTAAATTCCTCATATGAGTGGAGTCATACAGAGATTGTCCTTCTCTGTCTGGCTTATTTCACTTAACATAATTCCCTCCAGGTTCATCCATGTTGCTGTGAATGGAATGATTTTATTCTTTTTTATGGCTGAGTAATATTCCATTGTGTATATATACCATATTAACTCAATTACTTTTTGTCAAAATATTTTAACATAAATTATGGACACCATGATATTCTACCTCTAAATACTTCAGTATACATCTCTGAAAATCTATAAAATAATAATTTCTTCATATCATCTTAAGTTCAATTCATATACAAATTTCCCCAATGGTCAAAAAGTAAACTCACTGGTTCACATCAATGAAAATTCAAGTGGAATTTTAGGCGGAGCTATTAAAATGGTGATACGAGGAACCCATCTCATGCCCTTTTCTTGGCTCTATCTCCACCGTGTTGGCCTCTTCCTTGGGCATGTCTTCTCACATAGTGGCCCCCAGGACCTCTTGGTTTACATTACACTTAGAGCTAACAAACCCTCAGGTCGTTATCACCTCCCTTGTTTGCTTACACCCCACAACCATTTGCCCCTAAAGGCTCTCACTTTAGAGTATATCCAAGATTCTATCACTTCTCATCATCTCTTCCCTTGTCTCAGCCACTATCATCTCTCTCCTAGATTATCCTCATAACTTCCTACCAGTTCTCCCTGCTTCTCCCCTTTCTCACCACCCTTCTCCCCCAGTCTACTCTCAACACAGAAGCCAGAAATCTCTTTTGAAAGTGTAATTCAGGTCATGACATTTCTAGAGCTCAAAGGTCTTAGGTAGTAAAAGACAAAGTCCCTGCAGTTGCCTACAAGGCCCTATGAGAACTTCTCCTCCCCCACCTCCACCTTCTTACCTCTGTCTTTGTCTGTTACCACTCACTCCCACTAGCCATATTTGCTTCTTTGCCATTCCTCAAACACATTGCATATAGGACCTTTGCTCTAGCTGTTCAGTGTGCCTGGAATCTTCTTTCCCCAGATAGCCCCAAGACTCATTTCTCACCCCCTCACTTCCTCAAATCTTTGTTGAGATGGGATCTACCTTGGGCATCCTATTTAAAATTGCTGAGGTCAAGAGGTGACACTAAAGCTGATGGGAAGGAGCCAGCCACATGAAGACCTGGGGGAAGAACATTCCAGGCAGAAGGAACAGCAAGTGCAAAGGCTCTGAGTTGGGAAATCACTGGTGTATTTGAGAAAGAGAAACAGGACCAGTGTGTATGGAGCTTTGTGGGTAAGGTTGGGGTCAGGGTTAAGGGAGAGTGGTAATAGAGGAGGTTGAAGAGTTAGAGGGCAGAGACTAGCTACTGTGGAGGATAGAGGAGGTGAATTTTCCTTACAAGTATAGTGGGAAAAGCTTATGAAAGTTCTTGATCAAGGAGGTGACATGGTTTTAAGAGGTTCACTCTGATTCCTGCATGGATAACTGATTATAGGGGAGCAAGAGTCTAAGGCCAGGGAGAAAGCTGTTATAATAATCCAGGGAAGGGATGCTGGTGGCTTGGACAAGGGTGGTCTCAGTGGAGGAGTTAAGAAGTGGCCAGATTAAGGATTTTTTTTTTTTTCCTCCCCAAAGCCCCAATACATAGTTGTATATCCTAGTTGTAAGTCCTTCTAATTCTTCTTTGTGACCCATTGCCACAGCATGGCTACTGACAGACAAGTGGTGTGGTTCTGCACCCGGGAACCGAACCCCGGCCTCTGAAGCAGAGTGTGCTAAACTTTAACCACTAGGCCATCAGGGCTAGCTCTTGGGATGTTTTTTAACTATAGAGTTGATGGGATTTGCTGATGGATTGGAGGTTGGGTTGGGTTGGGTTGGGTGGATGGAATAGAGAGGAGTCAAGAATGACTCTGAAGTTCTTGGTTTGAGCAACTGGATGGATGGTGGCCACTTTTATTGAAAGGAGGAAGGTGATGGGAATGGGGGAACATCAGGTTTAAAGGTGGGAGGAGGAGTGGGAAGCCAACATTTATTTGGAGATGTCAAATTATCCATCCCAGGTGCAATATCAACCCGCTAGCTGAATGTACAAGCTTTGCAGCTCATGGGAGAGGTGGAAGCTGGCTCTCCCTTCCTTCCCACCCCAACTCCTCTCTCCTGGAGTGGGGTGTGCCTGGAGGCAGGCTCAACTAAGGCAAGCCACTGGTTTCCCTCAGCTGGGTGTGACCAGTTTGGGGAATCAGTGAGAGGAGGCTGATTCCTGGAAGTGTGTAGGGGACCGGCCTCTCTCCTCCATCACCACCCCTGCTCCCCAGGCCTAACTCTCATTTATGACTTAGGAGAGCAACAGTCTGCGGAGGGAGCATGAGTGTACTGATCCTGCTGCCTTTTGTGTCCCTTTCACGCCAGCGTGGGACGACGGCAAAATCCGGGCCTTCGCCCCAGAGACGGGCCGGTTGATGTATGTCATTAACAATGCCCACAGGATCGGAGTGACCGCCATCGCTACCACCAGTGACTGTAAAAGGATCATCAGCGGTGGTGGGGAAGGGGAGGTATTGTTCATGAAGGCAAAATCTTTTAGAAATAGTTCTCAATTTAGAGCAACTGCCTCATAGGAGGCCACTTACTTGATTTTTTTTTACCTGTATTAGGAGTCAAACAGCACCAGATTAAGATTTTGATGAAACCCTAAAATACATCATAAATTGAATTTCTAGTAATATAAATACACATATAAATACATTTGGTCACAGAAAGGACCTTTAAGATACAGACATGAAGGCATTCTGTATGGAATCAAGCTGTGGATCGAAGTTGATGTTTTGCCAAAGTTTTGGAATATTTGTTTTTCCTTCAAAGACCATAGTTACATAAATTGTCTTTATCTTATCTTTTAAAGGAGATGCTATTTTTGGACTCAATTCTTTAATCTACCCAGACATGTTGACCATTATTGTAAAATTGTTCCACTCCACCTTCTCCTTCCATCATTTCGTGGAGCCTAAGACTTCATGTCAGTGTCTCCCGTCGCCAATTCCCCAGCTCTTTCCCTATGGCAACATGTTCCCTTTCCCGACATAGGACATTTTCTTTTCCTTTTCTTTTCTTCATGCTATCATAGGAATGACTTATCAGGGAGAAGAAGGATACAGCATCTTGATGTCGCCTTTAGCAGAGTTGGGGCCAAGCAGAGTAGTGGCTGAGTGTTTGGGTTCTGGAGTCACACTGCCTGGGCTCACATTTCGCTTTCACCATTTCCCAGCTGCGTGATCTGGGTCATGTTCTTTAACCTCTCTGTGCTTCAGTTTCCTGGGTGTAAAATGAAGACAACAATACTCCTATTCATGAGACATTTTACACTCTTAATTTTGTACTAAGTCTTCAAAGTCTGGTGTGCATTTTACATTCAGAGCACATCTCCCTCTGGACTAGCCACATGGCGGGTGCTCCATAGACACTCTAGCCCTGGACCATCCACTCTGTTCTCTGCCTACCACTGCCTTCAAGGCTTTACTCTCTTCCCTCATCCCTTCAGCCACACTGTTGCTGACACCCTCAGCATCCTTGCTCCCTTAGTCTTTTGGGACATCTGCCTTGCTGATGCCCAGACTTGGCTTGGACCAGACCATCTGCACTCTGGGTGCCTGCGCCTGGCTGATGAGGGCTGTCCAGGAAACCACACGTTACAGATTCATTGCCCTGGGCCCCGCTCAGCAATCTTTTCACAGTGTCGGCTCCTCCGCCTGTTCCCCACAGTGACTGCAGACATTTTCTTCCAAAAGACATGGTCTTCAAGGCCTTTGTGAGTACTAGAGACCAAGGCTGCTGGTCAGCAGATGTGCACTGCGTGTGCACGAATGTAGCAGTTGCTAAAATACTCAAGTACTTCCACTTTCATTGGTAAATGGCCATTGCCTGAGGGCCCCAGTCCCACCACCAAGTCCCCTCCCCCTAAGCATACCCAAAACTCTCTGCAATCCCACAACTAAAGAGCTAATGCCCAGCTCTTCCAAAGTTCTAGTCCTAGGGCTGTTTGGCTGGTGCCCACACCACACTAGTTAGAAAATTTTAATTTGCTAATGACGGAACGTACACCTTCACGTGTAGCAGGATTTCGAGATGAGGGATTTGTTTTCTTTGGCAGTGGTCACCATCCCATCCCGTGTCATAACATAGGGCATTATTTGGACCCCATAGCAATTAATACAGCCCAGCTTATTTGGCATCACCTCATGCTGCCTCATTTTCTTTACTTTGACAATGTAGGAGGTGTCTTAGAATCTTTTTCTTACTTCGTTTAAGGTTATTTTTCTCTTTTCTGGTACAAATAAGTCTAGTCTATTATTTATCCTAACTGGTTTTTAGTCTGGTGTTCACCAGACTACTGTCCTTTCATCGTCTTGTAATACTTATGTGAGATCGTTTCTGCTCTCCTTATTTTTTATAAGTCCAATATTCACGATAAGAAGGTACACATATCTGACTACATTATTATGTTTTCTGGCATAGTTGTGTCAGAGTGTTTATCCATTACAGGACATACTATAGAAATGAAATCACTTTCCTTTTATTTATCCTTTTTATTACAGTTAGAGCATCATATTGACTGTTTTTGAAATGTGTGTAGGTAGTTGTATTAACTATGAATTTCATTTCAAGATAGTAAAGGGATGTCAGAAAATATTTGTTATAGAAAGTGGGTGTTGACTTTGGTGGGGTTGAGAACCATTGATTTTAAATGATTCATCAGCTGATGTGAAAGTTTACATATGGCTCTGGGTACCCAAGAGATTTCCTGATGGCACCAGAAATTTGAGAGCAATTCTTAGCAGAAATGAGCAGACATATTATTTCACTTGGTTTAGCAGCAGCCTTTACATTATCAGTTTTAGCAGAGGGTGTCTGATAAATTTCTCAGCCCTATAAGTAGAAGCAGGTATAGGATCATTGGTAGCATTTTCCTGGCTCCATAGAAGAATATTTCTGTCCTACAACTTAGCATTCCCCTCCCATGCAGCTGAGATGAGAACAGGGAATTAAAGAAACAAGTCAAGCACAGGGAAGATGAAAAAGCTCTTGGAATCTTTTTGTATCCCTTCAAAAGTCCTCAGTTTGTATTAAGAGCCTGTGCTTTGTGGCTTTCAGGTGAGGGTGTGGCAGATAGGCTGCCAGACCCAGAAGCTGGAGGAGGCCCTGAAGGAGCACAAGTCCTCCGTGTCCTGCATTAGGGTGAAGAAGAACAATGAGGAGTGTGTCACGGCCAGCACGGATGGGACTTGCATCATTTGGGACCTTGTGTAGGTACCTGTGACGGGGAAGACGATGCGGCACTTACACCACCACCAATTCCAGCATTTTATTGAACTTGAGAGAAGATTCAAACGAAGGGCAGGAATCTTACTTAAGGCAACAGTAAAGGGATGTTCAGCAGAAGCCATTCATCTCCATGACTGTCCAGGGTTTACAGATGCTGTTAGAAAGGGTATAGTTTCCAGGAAGAGCTGGATGTTAGAAGTTTCTGGATGGCTAGGGAAGTAGCTTTCTGGATACACACAGTGAAGTAGGATTTAACTTACACTAATTCAACTCTAAGTACGCCCAAAAAAGGGAGAAGGGAAATAACTTCAATAATGTAGGCAGTTCCTGTGGTCATTCCACACTGTCCAGTCAAGCCCAGAATGAGCTTGCCATAGTGGGTGGGAGTAGGAGAGTGGCATAAATTTGCCCTTCCCCCTGAGCTGGCCACATTCTCAGGGACCCCCTGTACTGTGAGAATATCACTACCTCACAGAGTGCTTGACCCCAAGCTAATTAGACCAAAGCATGTGAACTGTACTGTTGGAGTAATTCAAAGGATTTTCAAGGATGATTTTTTGACTATATGCATTTCTGCTGTGTTTTTATTTAGAATTAGACCTATTTTCCCAACCCCTCTCCCAGCCCAGCACCCCTCTACCACTCCTAAGATGCCTCACCTCTCTGTCTAACTGCATCAGATAGACTTGAGGAGGTACAGAGGTGGGAGAAGAGACATCTATACCCATATCTACATTAGACATAGAAGTCTCCTCTTCCGCCTCCGTATAGATATATATAGATACATATGGATGGCAAAGGAATATGAAATGTTCTTGATTGGGGAGAAGAGACTGGGAACTAAAGGCAAAGGCAGAACACTTTTTATTTAATACATTAAAAAACAAAAACCAAAGCAAACCTCTGTCTTCTAGCCCTGCGTGTCTCTAACTTTGAAGTGCCTGAGGAATCACCTGGGGATCTTGTTAAAATGTAGATTTTGAATCAGTAGGTCTAGAGTGGCACCTGAGATTCTGCATTTATAACAAGCTCCCAGTGAGCCCCCTGGTGCTGGCCCGACACACTTGCAGGAGGTGTTAGCCTCCACCTGACCATCACACTTGAAAATATACAACTAGAAGGTGTTAAAAACCACAATCCAACTGAGCAAATTCGAAAAGCTAATTGGCTTAATTCAACCATTCATGAATCAGGCAGCATCCCATCCAGCAATTCGAAAGGAGCTCCAAGGAGCTATACAAAATGGGAAGCTTTTATAGGCAGAAAGGGGACAGGGACAAGAAAAGAATGGATTAACTTCCTACCTTTCCTTGGGGGATGGAAAGAGTCCATCAGGCGGATTACCTCACTACTGCTGACCAGCGCATTCCAGACTGGTGAAGATTACATTCCTGAGGGAAGTTGAAACTGCAATTAGGTTGGGTATTAAATCTCAGTTTGGTGTCGTGGCTTAGCACAAGTGACTCCATTTGGGGCCTGTTGTCTCTTTTTTAACAAAGGTATGTATAAACTTATTTCCATGGATGGTTTATGACCACCTCAAATCTTTAAAGTCTCCCTGTTGTGCAGCAAGAATATTTGCTTAATTTGTACCAAAAGCTTTAAAAAATGTTCTGCCCAGATACCATATTTGAAAACCTCCACAATGAGAAGAAACTGTGCAGAAGGTGCACTCTTTTTAGCCAGTAGAGCCTGGCCTGTGAAATGGCCACCCAGCCACATCATCTATGGAAGGAGAAGCGATATTTACCTACTTCTTGGTATAGCTTCTAAAGCAGTGTTTCTCAAACAATTGCACACATGAGAATCAACTGGGATGCTGATTGAAAACGCAGATCTGTGGGCCTCATCCCAACCTAAGAAATCCAAACCGCTAGAAGTAAAGCCCAATAATATCCATTTTTAAGAAGCCTTTCCCCACACTTTGCTGCTCAGCTTATAGGGACCTTCCCTTCAAATTGGTGGCCTCAAGAATAAGGTACCATGTGTGGAAGACAGCAGGTTGACTCTGAGTCTAGGCTCTCCTCCTCCTTCTCACTGGAACTGGAGACTTCCCATGGAGTTCTGCCTTTTGTCTTTAGATAAGGGCGCTGCCCAGCATCTTCTGACTCCCGCGAGAGGTGCAATGGGAGGATGCAGAAGTGGCGTGGGCAGACTAACAGGAAGTCTATTTGGGATAAATAGATCAACCCAAGTCCCAGCTGGTACCAAATCCAGTTTGAATAGGACGTAAGTTTTCTAGGGAAGAGAAAGTTGAGTTTCACAGCTTTTGAATCTATTTTTCAGGCGTCTTAGGAGGAATCAGATGATCCTGGCCAACACCTTATTCCAGTGTGTTTGTTACCACCCTGAAGAGTTCCAGATCATCACCAGTGGGACAGACAGAAAGGTGAGTACTCCAGCAAGAGGCAAGAGCTTTCTGGTACAAGAGAAAAGTAGTGAAGTGCTGTGGCCAAGGGTGCAGGTTGTGCGGTCGAGCCATGCCAGTTCAAACTACGGTGTCGCTGTTGGTGAGCCGTGTCACTTGGGAAATGCTATGTAAGTTTTTGGTGCCTTTGCCTCCTCGTCTGTAAAATGGAAATAACGATACCACTGACCTCATAGAGTGCTGTGAAGATTAAAGTCATACTTGAATATAATGCTAAAAGCAAGGGACACATAGTAGGTACTCAATAAGTATTGCTTTTCATTATTAGGAAATTTCAAAGCCTGGAACAGAATTGCTGTGCCCAAACCACTTGTCACTGTGACTAAATTCAAATCAAATGACAATAGAGCTCCTCATCTCTTCTTATCCCTCTACTTCATCAATATATTAACAGTTTTGTTAGCTGGGGAGTCCATGTCCTCGGATGAAAATTGGTCTTTCTTTTTGGGGGGAGATTTCTGCCTTAAAGTGAGCCAAGAGAGGCTTCAGGAAAGAGGCACGTGGAGACGTGAGGATGCTGGGGTGTCTTCCACCCTCCCAGCCATAGCAGATCGTGGCCTAATTACCTGCACATCCAATTAATAGATTTGGATTCCCCTAATTCAGACTTTAAGATAATTGAAGAAGAGGTTGCATATTTATCTTTTCACTAGCAACAGAAAAGCTGATGGAGTTAAAGCATAAAAATGTGCTGGGAAAAATACTAAAGGTGACTCCCCTCCGACCCCCAGCACCAAATTAGAATCGAGGAGTGGGGCTCTTTCCTGTTGAAGGTTCCCAGGTGACTGGGAAGTACTGTCTGAAGACACTTGGTCATAAAAATCCAAGAAACGTTGCCTGGTCCAACCAGGATTGGCCTGACACAGGTGGAATATTGTGGGAGGGCATGTTGGACTCTGTTCTAGCCTCTGTAGGTTGGCCTTCTTAGTGTCTTTGTGTCTCATCTGCCCAGTTGGCTTACGCCTGCCCATCCCCCAACCCCATGTTTGACTCGCTGTCTAAGTGGGCTTCCTCTTGGAACTGGGGTGGAATGGATATTACAGGGTGAATCACAACATCACTATAAATGCTTTGATATATGGTTCGTGAAGTTTCTAAATTAGTGTGACATCTGCCATATTCTAAGTTTCAGTTTATAAGACTTGAAACAGTCTATTTCCCTCTTATTAGAATTTTCACCAGAATATTCAAACCATAAATCATAAATCTGTAAAACTATTCTAAGTGCTGGGGACATGACCCTGTCCCTGTTATCGTGGAGCTTACTTACTTTACGTATTTATTTTGGGTGGGAGGGGATGGAATTGGACAGTACACATGTAAATGAAGACATGAATGAACTACGAGTAATAAGTGAACAGGATGAGATGAGATGGTGAAAGGGCTGAAATGAAAATAGAGCAGGTTAGATGATACCAGCTGAGGAGAAGGAAACTGCCTCAGCCAGGATGGTCAGCAAAGGCCTCCTTAAGAGGGGTGACATTTGAGCTGAGGCCTCAATGACAGAAGGACCTAGCCAAGCTTAGATCTCTGGGAAGACCATCCTAGGCAGAGGATTCTCCGGAAAGCCTGAGGCTCCATGAGGTTGCCCAGGAGAGGGTCACTTTGACCTCTTGACCCAAGAAAGCAAGGAACCAACTACTTAAATGGGTGTGATTCCTGAGAAACTAGGATTTTGGCATGCGTCTATACTCCTTTATGCTTTTACTATGAAAACAGAACTTTCTGTTAAAGCAATCAAGCATCAGTAGAAATTATAAAGTCAAAAAATACATATATATTTCGGGGCCAGCCAGGTGGCATAGTGGTTAAGTTTGTGCGCTCTGCTTTGGTGGCCTGGGGTTCACTGGTTCGGATCCCAGGTGTTGACACGGCACAACTCATCAAGCCATGCTGTGGCAGGCATGCCACATACAAAATAGGGTAAGATGAGCACAGATGTTAGCTCAGGGCCAATCTTCCTCAGCAAAAAGAGGAAGATTGGCAGCAGATGTTAGCTCAAGGCTAACCTTCCTCAAAAAAAAAACGAGGTTCAAAGTTCAAAAAGCAAAAGCAGTATATTCAGAGAAAAATCTCCTTTCTTTGAGCCTGTTTCCCCCCAACCCCTAAGCTAGTTCTCCTCCCCAGGAGCGGACCCACGTTATCGCTTTGTCTTTAAACCCCACCCTGTAGAATGTTTTATTGCTTTGAGGCAGAAGAGAAAGCTGGGAATAGGGTGGGGTGAGGAAGAGAGAGGGTGGGCCACAGTAAGCCGGTGACCCTGTAAGGCCCAGCCTCCAGAGCTGTCTGCACTGCTCATTCCTCAAACTGAAGGCAGGAAACGCTTTCCCCTTCCACCAGGCCTGAAGCTTTGCTCTCCTGCTTTAAGAGCAGAGGCAGGAAAGTGGATGCCGTGGCTGTTTTCTTCTTTCTTTTACAGCTTGCTTCAGACTCCATCTGCTTAGTCTGATTGAAAGCACTTTCTGCCACAGTCCGGCTTTACCAGCATATCAACATCTCTTTAAATAGAATGCAAATTTAAAAACCAATACCAAAAATATTAAAATGGTTTCTCCACCCCCTGCTTTAGCCTATTTATAATTTCAGCCCGTATATCATCCCATAGTATATTTTTGCTACCTTCTATATAAAGTAGAACCATCTTATGTTAGCATGTGCGTGGATGATTCCACTGAGCTGAATTCTGCCTAATGCTTCTTTCCTGAATTCCAGATTGCTTACTGGGAGGTATTTGATGGGACAGTCATCAGAGAGTTGGAAGGCTCCTTGTCAGGGTCAATCAATGGTATGGATATCACACTGGAAGGAGTGTACTTTGTCACAGGTTAGTCCTGGGATAAGAAAAGAAAACCAAGCCCGGTTTATTTCAATGGGAACGTGGAACTCCAGGCAGGAGGCAATTGGAAGTGACTGCAAAAGGGTCTAAAGGGCAATGTGGTTAGATTCAGGCTGGAGCACCGCAGCCAGTGTGGCTGGAAAAGAAACACCCAGAAGTCACATTTCAGTGAATGGAAACATTTGCCCGGGAGCGTTAGGAGCACAAATAAAAGCTAAGCCTTATATTGCTTGTTTTTTTTCTGGTGGGCATCGTAATAGAAATGGGCCTTTAAATGGCTTAGGCTGCCCAGTGTGCTTTTCTCTGTTATTTTCTACTGACGTCTTAAATGCCAGGCTTTTAAATCAGCATTTCCAGGAGGCATTGGCCACACAACATGCCAATTGGAACAACACCAATATCATTTCCTGCCAAGCTCTTTGCTTCTTCAGGACATTAACAAATAAGTGCTCCCGATGATTTAAAGTTTCGCAAACACAGTTCCTTAGAGCAAGATAGAAAGCTAGCCACGGAGTGATCCCAATTACACACACAGACGTCTGTATACCTGTACACTTAGACAGAAAAGACTGGAAGGAGCTAAACCAAGATTTTATTAGTGGTTATTTCTGGGTGGTGGGGTCAAGGGTGATGTCGCCTCTTTGTATTTTTTTCCCCAAATTTACTCCAACAGATCTGGATTTTTATAATCAAGTAAAAGAATTATTATAAAGACAGATTTTTTTCTCCCTTTAAGTTTGCACACGGGGAATGTGTTGAAAAGGAGCCAGTTATTTGAAATCAGGGCTGTTTCTCTCTATTCTATTGCAGCAATGCCATATAACTGTTTGTCTTTTTCAGGGGGAAATGACCATCTGGTCAAAGTTTGGGATTATAACGAGGGTGAAGTGACTCACGTTGGGGTGGGACACAGTGGCAATATCACCCGCGTCCGGATAAGTCCAGGAAATCAGTACATCGTCAGCGTAAGCGCCGATGGAGCCATTCTGAGATGGAAGTACCCATCTGCCTCGTGAAGCGGCAGAGACTGCCTGGCGCACCACGCTGCACACGGTCCTGCTGAAGCTTGAGCTTAGATGGCACCAAGACTGGTCTTGATTTCGCACATCTGTGTTTTTTTTCTTTAGTCAAAATATTTTATGTTTTAAGTTTCTCCTTTCCTTTATAGAATGCATTTTACATTCTTAAATTGTATATTAAAATCAAAATATGTTCAAGAATAATTTGTCCAGACTGTAAGTAAGAGTTTTCTATTATGAATAGATTCCCAGATGTTGGTTCCTATCATAATCTGTTTTCTGTGACTCTGCCAAACCCACAGCCCCTCCTCATATTATTATTATTTTTTTTTTGAGGAAGACTAGCCCTGAGCTAACATCTGCCAGTCCTCCTCTTTTTGCTGAGGAAGACTGGCCCTGAGCTAACATCTGCCAGTCCGCCTCTTTTTGCTGAGGAAGACTGGCCCTGAGCTAACATCCATGCCCATCTTCCTCTATTTTATATGTGGGACGCCTACCACAGCATGGCTTGCCAAGCGGTGCCATGTTCGCACCCGGGATTCAAACCTGCAATCCCCGGTCCCGCCTAAGTGGAACGTGCACACTTAACTGCTGCACCACCGGGCCAGTCCCCCTGCCTCATGTTTTTTCCACAGATGGCTTTGGGAAATCCTCTAAAAGGAAGGGAGGTGAGCTTAACTTCTCAATCAGCATTTCACTGGTCAAGCTTCGTGGGGTACGATGTGGATTTGAATCCAGATCTTGGGTAGGTTTCCTTTTTAAAAACTCTCTGAGCCTCTGTTTTCTCTTTTGTAAAGCAAGAATAAATTTCTGCTCAAAAGATTCTTGTGACAATTAAGTGAAATAATGTATTAAAGCATTGGCAGAGTTCCTGACACACAGAGTTAAACATGAATTATGGTGCTTTCTCCGAGAAAATGTGTGTTGTTGGGGATCTTAGGGTGATTATCAAAGATGAAATTTCAAAGATGCTTTTTTGGAGTTTGGCCATAAAATCTTTCTGTTGTACTTACCATCAGAAGGGCGAGGGAATGGACCTTTTGTATTAATCATCCAACCAGGTATGCTTTCCCAGATAGGGTAAATAATGGCATCTTCCAGAAACAGCTCAGGTCTCCAATGCACAGCGGTCTTTTGTTCTAAGCATATTCTTTATCACTTAACTAATGCTTCTTTTTTGCTGCTGCCCTTTTTGACATACAAAGGTGGATATTTAATAAATGGTCACACATTTATCCAATAATAAGTAGCATTTCAGGCTGTTGACATAGTAATGCATCCTGCTGATCTCTTTTTGAACTAGAAATTGGTGAGAAATCCATTTTGTAAGACTTTGCCTGATTAATTATAAACCTGACAGTTACAGGGTAAAGCGAGCACAGGCCCTCAGAGTTACCCCGGGAATCAAGGGCGGGGCAAGGCCAAGCCCAAGCCCATTCTGATTGGGCAACAATCCAGCAGGGATCTCACGTCAAGGAGCGAACAGAAGACCGCGTAGGGGGCGCGCCTGGGAGCCGAAACACTTCCTGGTAAGCAAATACCTGTACTGAGGTTGGAAAGAGGCAACTTTTGAGTGGCAGTCCGCAGACCTCGGTCCAGTTCCCGTTTCCCTGCTTACGGGTCTTGTGGCCTCGGTAGGTTGCGTTAACCTCTCTAAGCCCGTTTCTTCACCATTTGAAGCCAGGATGATCAAGCCTTGCTTGCAAGCTTTTGGAAAATGACTCTAACCTAGTCTCTAGTTTAAAAAAGCAAACGTATAACTATCGCGGCTGTTTCACGCGGGGCAACTTGGGGTCCCAGTTCTCGTCCCAGGATGGCGGGTCCAGGCAAAGGCTCTGCCTGCCCTACGGCGCAAACCGGCTGGAAGGAGGTGGCGCCACCTGTCCGCACATACCTGTGCTTGCCGAGGAGCCAGCGCTCACAAAAGCGACCCCCACCCCTTCACAGCTCCCAGTGCACGCCTCTCACTACTCCAGAGGCTGCCAGTGGACAGTCTTCCTCTCCCTTTTCTTCATATTCACCTGGACGTAATTACAAGAAACTTAAAAATTGCCAGGGCTTTGTAATTTACTAGGCGCTTCCAAATTTATCGTTCCTGTTATTTCCACAGCTTGAAGCCTGGGAGGGGAATAGGAGCAGAGGTTAAATTCAGGTCCGTCTGTTTACACGCTGTAAGGAAGGGTGGGGAACTCGAACTCAGCGACTCCCAGTGCTTTTATTCCCTGTCCGCGCCGCGGGGGGCGGGCCCCGGCGGGGGTGGGGGCGGCCTGGCGCTGCCCTTGGGCGGGCCTTACGGCTGGATTCCCGCGCGGGGCGGGGCGGCCCCGCCCTTGGCTCCGCCTCCGCCGGGTGGCGACACACCTGGCCCGCAGGTAGCCGGCGCCCGGGCGCTTTTCCGAGGCTGTAAGGGCCTGTTAGAGGGGCGTCCGCCTCGGGTCCCGGGGGCTCCGCGCGGGGAGGTGCGCCGGCGGGAGCCATGGACCCGGGCCCGGGGGCCGCGGCAGGAGAGGGGCTTCCCGCGCCCCGGCCCCGCCGCCGCCGCTCCCTGCGCCGCCTGTTCAGCCGCTTCCTGCTGGCGCTGGGCAGCCGCTCCCGCCCCGGGGACTCGCCGCCCCGGCCCCAGCCCCAGCCCCAGCCGGGACACTGCGATGGCGACGGTGAGGGCGGGTTTACCTGCGCCCCCGGCCCCGCTCCAGCCGCCCCCGGGAGCCCCGGGGAGGAGCGCCCACCCAGATCCCAGACCCAGCTCCCCGCTGGCGATGGGGCGCGGCCCCCGGGAGCGCAGGGCTTGAAGAACCACGGCAACACCTGTTTCATGAACGCCGTGGTGCAGTGTCTCAGCAACACCGACCTGCTGGCCGAGTTCCTGGCGCTGGGGCGGTACCGGGCGGCACCGGGCCGCGCCGAGGTCACCGAGCAGCTGGCGGCGCTGGTGCGCGCGCTCTGGACACGCGAATACACACCCCAACTTTCCGCCGAGTTCAAGGTAGGCAGCGCTCTGAGCCTACCGCCCTTGCCGCTCGGCGGCAGCCGCGTTTTGGCCCTTCTGGTTTCTCTTCTTGAAGAGTGTATGCTCCGTCAGGAGAGGGTTTCATGGGACCTTCTTTAAATGACATTGACTAGTTCAGCCTCGGGTTACCGCCTTTGAGTTGATCTGTTGTGCTATCGCTTGCAGACGTTTTCTTATGAATTAATTTCCCCTAGGTATTTTGAGGGGTGCGAGTGCAGGGACTGGCAGATTTGAGTGTATTCAGCATTTTTGCGTCCCACAGACGTTTGTTGAAGTATTGAAGGCCTTGTGGGCCAGGCAATGTTCTAAGGCTAGGGAGAGAGTCTCCAGTCTGGAGGGGTGCAGTGTGGGGAGTCGGACTTCCACGGCCAAGACCTTGGAGGAAGGAGGTGATGCTTGGGTTGAGATCTGATTGATGAGAAGGACTCAGCCAGGCCAAGATCTAGGAATAATCCCGGTAGAGAGAGGGCAAGTACAAAAGCCGTATGCTTGAAGGAGCTGAGAACTGAAGGCATGGAAGGAAAATTAGTGTGGCTGGAGCCCTGGAGGGTAGAGTGGGGCGTAGATGAGGTCGGCCAGATCACATAAGGTCTTGGACACAACGGTCCACAACGGTCTAAGCCCAGTGGAAGCTGAGAACCTGTGGTCCAGGTACTGTGCTGAGTGCCTGGGAGAGGCAGTGTGTGCCTGTATTGGAGATGGCATCCTTCTGTTTAGTGTACGTTAAACCCCCTACAGTGGGTAGCATGGGATTGTATCCATTGTCCCCAGGATCCCGGTCTACGTACTGGGGATGCTGCAGGGTCATGAGGCTTTGGGAAGTTATGTGTAACACTTGATCCAGGGTTAAAGCAGGGAGTTTGTTTGGGGTCCCAGTTGGATCAAAGAGTTCCTGATAATTGATGTGCATAGCTTGCTTCCTGCTAAAAAAAAAAAAACCCCACAGCTCTGGACAGAGAGCTGCAGCTCCCCATAGACTAGTGATTGTTGTTCTTGGGGGAGGGGGAAACCTGTCAGTGTTCATTCCACAAGCATCACCGCTCTTGAGTTTCAGCCTGAGAAAGCAATTCTTGCCATGTGACCCATGAGTGTGCCAACCCCCACCTTCCTCTCTCCTGCTTCCACCAGTGAAGCACTATTCTGCAGGAGTCAGTGGGTCGAATGGGTGTCATTAATATCTCTTTTTGGCAATGTTTGCTGTTTGAATAAGAGGCAGTATCCTATAGTGGTTAAGAACAAAGTCTCGGGAGCTCTGTGACCTTGAGCAAGTTTCCAGATGTCACTGTGCCTCAACTTACCTCATCTGTAAAATGGGACCATATTGGTGCGAACCTTACAGCCTTGTTGTGAAGATGAGTTATATGTACAGCACTTAAAACAGTGCCTGGCCCCAAGGAATCTTTCGTTATTCTATTATTACACCTCCTCACCTGCAAAGACCCAGAGGAGGGAGGGAGGGAGTCATCGTGTACCTTTTCTCCTGCCAGAAGAATTCTCATCCGCTTACTGCCGAGATGGGAGAGGCCAGAGGAGCTTGATAAAATCTTCCAAATTAGTAATCACCCTTGGCGACTCACCGGGATTTCCTGCTCTCTCCTGCTCTGGAATCCCTAGAGCCTGGAAGCTCCTGGTGAGCCTTGGGGAATTGAAGGATAATCAGGTCGTTAATATGTATATGAGGGTGATATAATCTGGGGCTTCCCCAGACTTTTTGGGTAGCCAGCCTTGGAGGGAGTGGAGAAGAATTCCGGAGTCCAGGGTTTTGAACCTTTCTAATTGAAGTCTAGGTGAGCTCCTCCTGTTTTACAGATGAGGAAACACTCATTCGTCCAACACATATTTCTTAAGTGTCCAGACACTATACCAGGAACATGGAATACATGAGTGATGAGTACAAAACCTGACCCTGGGGCTGCTCCCCAGGAGCTTACAGTCCAGCGAGAGAGGTGGATGTTAATGAAATAATCACATAGGCACATGAGTTGAGCTGGTGACAAGTGCTAGAAAATAAAAAATGAGGCACTGTGGCAGTTCTGGCAGGAGGATGTGATTTGATGCGGGGGGAGGTGGGGCAAGCAGGGGCAAGAAGGCTTCCCACCAGAGATAACCATCGAGTTGAAGGTTCAGAGGTCAACTAAGGACTTGGGAGGGTGAGAAAGTGCATTCCAGCCCCTGGGACTGAAAGTGCCAATCACTGAGGAAGGTGGGGCTGAGGGGCCTTCTGCTGGCTGGGCAGAAGAAATGAATGATTAAATGAATTACTGAAGGCCTATTGACTGGGGAGAGAGGCTGGAGAATTGGTTGGGGACAAGCTATGTAAGGTTTTATAAAGAAGCTTGGTCTTTAGGAGGAATTAGAAGAGAGAAAACTGAGAAGGGGCCAGCATGCTGGAGTGAGTTAGCCCAACCTCAGCCATGCAAATAGGATGGGTTTGCTGGGTTCCCCCTCCCTGAGCCCTGGGTCGCCCAGCCTCCCACAGACAGCAGGACTACTCTTTGTTTTAATGTCAAATAAATAAATACCTTAAAACAATCCTGCCCATGGTATTTGTAATACTTTGCTTATCTAATGTTGTAATTAAATATGTGTATACTATAAAAAATTGGAAAGTGCTAAAATGTAAAAAAAGATTGGAACTCCGTTAGAGATAACTATCTCTAACAGATAACCATCATAAACATTGATGTGTTTCAAAGCATGTACAGTTGGAAATTCTAGTTTTGTATCCTGCTTCTTTCATTTAAGTATTATCATGAGACTTTCTCCTGGTCATTAAAATATTCTACAAAACTTAATTTTTAGTGGTTGTATAATTTTATTAAATGAACCAATCCCTACAGAGACATTTTTATACTGTACTGTTTTCCCAGTTACCACACTGCATTGAAAATTCTTGTGTTTAAATCATTTTCCTCAGCTCTGATCATTTCCATAAGCTTAAGTTCTTGAAGTGAAATTACACGGTCAAAGCAAAGCTATGACTGTTTTGTTGTTTTTATGTTTTTTGGTTTTTATTTTATTTTTTTTAAAGATTGGCACCGGAGCTAACATCTGTTGGCAATCTTCTTTTTTTTTCCTTCTTCCTCTTTTCCCCAAAGCCCCCCCAGTACATAGTTGTATATTCTA